GGCATCGTGGCGAATGAAAACGTAGTCAGCCGTCTGAAGTCCAGCGGGTATGTGTGACTGAGGAAGGCCGTGATGGGAAGTAGGGACAGATGAGAAAAGCCTCGCATTGTCCAGTAGAGTGGACCGCTGAAAAGTAGCAGACCAGGGAACCGTAGTGCTAGGGACAAAATCCCCTGGTACACGCAGTGGCTGTCCATAAACCAACTCCGCGGATGAGGACTGAAGATCCTCCTTTGGCGCGGTCCTGATGCCCAGCATCACCCACGGGAGCTTGTCGACCCAGTTGCTGTCTTTGAGGCCAGCGCGCAGGGCAGCCTTCATTGACCTATGAAAACGTTCACAGAGTCCGTTAGCTTGCGGGTGATTATGCGGTCGTACGGTGGAGTTTCACTCCGAGGCTCTGTGCGACAGCGGCCCACAGCTCAGAAGTAAACTGTGCGCCTCGGTCAGAGGAAATGTCCGAAGAAGTGCCGAAACGTGCAACCCAGGTGCCAATAAATGCCCGTGTCATTTCGGAAGACGTCACTGACGTCAAAGGCACAGCCTCGGGCCAGCGGGTGGTCCTGTCAACCATGGTGAACAAATATGTGAAACCGTGAGAGGAGGGCAGAGGACCAACCAGGTCCACGTTTACATGGTCAAAACGTCTTTCCGGAACCGAGAAAGACCCTAACGGGGCTTTAGTGTGGCGATGGACTTTGGCCCGTTGGCATTCAACACAGGTGTTAGACCAATCCCTAACGTCCTTCTTGAGGCCGTGCCAAACAAACTTCCCTGCCACCAGTCTCTGTGATACTTTCGTACCCGGGTGGGAGAGACCATGGACGGCATCAAAAACTTGTCGCCTCCATCCCGAGGGAACGATCGGCCGAGGACTACCTGTGGAGATGTCACACAGGAGCTTGGTGCCGGCATCGCCAAAAACCACATCCTCGAGCTGCAACCCTGTAGCCGAGGTCCTCAGGAGTTGCACATCTGGGTCTGTGGCCTGAGTCGCTGCCATGCGGTCGTAATCCAAACCCAGGTGGACTGCCCCAGCCACAGCCCTTGATAGGCAGTCCGCCACTCGGTTGGTCTTTCCGGCGACGTGCTGCAAGTCCGTGGTGAACTCAGAAATGTAGGACAGATGACTTTGCTGGCGGGCGGACCACGGTTCAGCCACCTTGGCCATGGCAAAAGTCAATGGCTTGTGGTCCACAAAAGCAGTGAAATGTCGGGGTCACCAGTGTGGAAATTGTAGTAAATCGCAAGAGACAACTTCTCACATTGAGCACACGTATGCATGTGTCGTTTATTATTGTCGAAAACAAAACACTCAACTCCAAAATCGCGCTGACTAGCGTCTCATGTCATCACGCATACAGAACATTTAAAGGGACCACGATCCCTGAACAACAGTGAGGAACAATGCCAAGAACAAAGGTGAATTATGTATGTCAAAGTCACTACAACACTTCCTTTGTCAGGCTTGTGTTGGTTTTAGCAACCGTTTCCGAAAGGCACAGTTTTTTTTTCCGGAACTGCTCTCTCGGTTACGCGTTTCATATCAGGCTGGGTGCAGTGCTGTATATTATGCACACAGTAGGATAGTGTGCCCCCCTGTGGGTGGTTGCTATAATCGACATGAAGCTTGGTGAATGGGGTTGCATTAGGCAAATGCTTTTGTCCCACACTACCATTAACAGTTCTTTCCAATTATTCAGATTGAAGGGTTAATTCATATCTTTACTATAGTCTGTCATGATGTCAGTTTGATGTCATGTTTACCGTAGATGCGGAAAACATCCGCAACAATGAGTCATTTTGTGGAGAAGCTGCTCCGTGACGGTTTGGAGCTGTCCTAAGATGAGCTTGACATATACATAGAACGGGTGCATCGCTCTCTATGCCCACCACCGCCAGACGATGCACCCCCACGCTCTATTATTGTGAAATTCCTCAGCTTTAAGACCAAATAACTTTTGCTCCGTAAGGCATGGCAGAAAAAAGGTTTTACCTGGAATGGCAAACAAGTAAGTTTAGACCATGATTATCCTCCTCTCATCCTAAAGAAGCGAAGAGAATACGCAGAGGTGCGCAAGATTCTGAAAGAGCAGCAGATCCCCTTTCAGACTCTCTTTCCAGCTAGGCTGAAGGTGAAATACACTGAAGAAACTAAAATTTACAACACAGTTGTGGAAGCTACTGCAGATATGTCCAGTAGAGGCTACGCGGTGAAGGTCATCGGATCGTCAGAAACAGCATTGGAGCAACTGAAGCAGCTGACCTGCAGCAGAGTTGGCAGAGGAGCGGGGAGCAGCGCAGCGAACAAGAGGCGGGACCCAGGTTACAAAGAAAAACTTCAAGAGGACCTCACCTACGCCTTCGGGAAATTGAGGTTTACCCACTTTGTTGTTTAAAAAACAAACAAAAAAACTGTTACTCAGTTTAATGGTGTGTAATAAGCGGATAAGAAAGGTTTTTGGAGGATGTTCTTCTCAGCGAAGCCTTAGCCATTAAGGGCCTCCTCCACAGACTGATGAAGAAGTTGCCTTTAAAGGCGAAGCAAGGTCCACCCCAGGGACCCCTGCCTTGGAAGTTAGAACTACCTCAGTTTGATTTTTGTCTATTTTTTATGTTATTTGTTCACGTGTTCCATGTTTAGTGTTTACAATGGTGTGCGGGGAGCCTATTAAAATGTGTGTACACGTTCTATAATTTAGATGAGTAGCAGATCAGTGAAAATGGTATCAATCAATATTAATGGCTTACATAATCCGGTAAAAAGGTGGAAAGCCCTATCTAAATTTAAAAGAGATAAAGCTCAGATTATTTTTATGCAGGAAACACATCTGTCTGATAGCGAACATGAAAAATTGAACAAGCTTGGTTTTAAACATGTCTTTTATTCTTCTCACAGTTCGGGGATGTGAAGAGGTGTGGCGATCTTGGTGTGTGGCGCTCTAAATTATGAACAAATATCAGAATATAAAGATAAGGAGGGTAGATATATAATGGTAACTGCACAGCAAAATCCCCAGTGTTAAATTAACACTGAAAAGTGTGAATTATATAAACTCTGAGCAGAGTGTTAAATGAACACTGAAGCAGTCTTAAAGTTAATGAGATAATTAAGTGAATAATTGAGTGATGATTGAGCATTATTGAAGACACCTGACACCTGTTAACAAGCAGAATCTCTGAAGGAGAAAACCGGAATTTTTAAGTCACCACTATTGTGATCAGTGTTTGGTTTAGTTGGGCTCTTGACCCTTAATTCATTAACTTTAGATTTTGTTTGGCTGCAGTACATGAGTTATAACAGCCAGATGATCAAATAGAAAAGATGATCTGATGGTGATGATTGTGTTTTAACATAATCATTATTTCACAATCATTTGACCTGAATCACTGAACTCATTTAGAGCCTAATTTCTGAGTTAGGTTTACTTTATTAATTATAGCAGCAGTGACCTTGTACAGCATAATATTTTTAACGTTTACAAAGTAATCAAAATAATTTCTTAAAAAGTTTCTCTTATATAAATAATAAATAAATAAATAAAGACACACAGACATCAATAATTAGCCTGTGAATCTCAACAATGGTGACAATTATAAAGCATGTTGCAGTGCATTCTTGGTGCCACCAATCAAAACTCATTCATGGCTCCCATCATGCATTGCTGCATGAATAAATAATGAGCTTATGTTCAGAGGTGATCTGTTTGTCACCATTGCTGAGATTTATACGTCAATTCTTGATGTCTGTGTGTGCCTACATAAAATATTTTTGGGATTTTTTTATTTTTATTTGATCGTTTGGATTTCATTGAAAAGGCTAAAAATGGTATGTTCTAAAATGACCGTGCTGCTAAAATCCATAAGGTAAATTTAACTCAGAATTTATGCTCTTGATGAGTTCCGCGATTCAGGTTAATTAATGATTATGTTAAAACACAACCAACACCATCAGATCACCTTTTCTATTTGTTCATCTGGCTGTTATAACTCACATACAGCAGCCAAACAAAATGTAAAGTTAATGATTTAAGGGTCAAGAGCCCAACTAAACCAAACACTGATCACAATAATGGTGACTTGAAAATTCTGGTTTTCTCCTTCAAAGATTCTGCTTGTTAACAGGTTTCAGGTGTCTTCAATAATGCTCAATCATCACTCAATTATTCACTTAATTATCTTATTAACTTTAACACTGCTTCAGTGTTCATTTAACACTCTGCTCAGAGTTTATATAATTCACACTCTCAGTGTTAATTTAACACTGGGGATTTTGCTGTGTGGTAAGATTGATGGTATTACTCTGAGTCTCTTAAATGTGTATATTCCCCCAGGAAGCAATTGGTCCTTTTATAAACAGATTCTAGAATTAACAACAACAAGGAGTCAGGGAATTTTTAGTGGTGGGCAGATCGAGGCTTTAGTGAACCAATGAAACAGTTGAACCAAATGGTCCATATTGTTTCGAGGCTTTGAATCAATCCGACACCCGTCTCAACGGTGACACCTAGTGGTCACTTGCAGGTGTTGATCTGAAACAACCTTGACGAGCCATGAAAATTTGTTTTTTTTTTTATTATTGTACTTTTCTAATATGTGAATCTTGTAACCTATAGGCTCCTCACTGTGCATAATGTTCTTTTGGTCCTGCAAAATGAATATTAATAAAATAAATCAAGCCACAATGTCTCACTTTTTTACATATTTTTATTAAAAAATATTAATTTCTCTGCTGTGGAAGGACTTAGCCTACTTCTTTTTTATTACAGATAATTTCTCCAGCCTTTGAAAAAATCCTCTTACAAGGGACACTTGTTGCTGGCATGCAAAGATATTTTTTAGCTAGGACATACAAATGAGGAAAGATTACTGCTCTCTCTTTCCAGTAAGTTAGTGGATCATGAGTTCTGGGCAAATATGCATCGTTGATGTATTTTTTCACTTCCACTGTGGCATCAGCTGTAGCATTGTGTATCATCTGGGTTTGATGGATATGAATATCAAAACGTTCCCATAAACGGTCCTGTGTTTCTACTGGTGTTGATGGTGATGGTGATGGTGATGATGTTGATGGTGATGGGTCTGATGTTGACATTTCTGGCTCTGAATAAAAATGAAAACAGCAATTAGTAACAAATGCTAAACTGACGCCATATATGAAGTATATATTACATGAATCAGACTACATAACATAACGGACTATAATCTATAATCTATGTATCTATAATCTATCTATGTATTTATATATGTAGCCTATCTTTAATCTATCTATATCTATCTATCTATCTATCTATCTATCTATTAATCTAGCTGTATATATTTATATCTATGTATCTATTAATGTGTCACTATATGTATACTCTGTGTCTCTAGCCTATCAGTCAATGTGTTGTGTAAATTTTAATGTAAGCCTAAATATAACTAAACAAATGGCACTATAAATGTCACTATATCACGAAAAATCCACTATCTCAAAATCAAACTCCTCTCACAAAAACCCACGAGGTCAATATGCGTTGATTTCACTTTTATACAGATGTGCGATTGTGTGGTCTGTTTCCGACCGTGTCAATCAAACGCTGATTCGGCGGATCACACCTGATGAAACACTTAGTGAAACACTTCGAGGCTTCGTTTGGCCATAGTCACGTGACATGGGTGTTTTGAATCACGCTTCGAATCAGTGTTTCGAAACATCTGCGCTTCGGGATCTCGCAAAGCTTCGGAACGGCTGTTTCGCGTCAGCCATCCCTAGGAATTTTATTATGTGGTGGTGACCTTAACCTCACATGCTAAATTGGATTCTTCGAATGGGAAAGATGATGCGAGAAATATTGGAAAAAGAATGGTACACCTTAGGACGAATTAGGATTAGTTGATGTGTGGAGAGATTGCCATTCATATATTGCCAGCCTATATCTTCATGTTTAGAAATGATCTCTTTAGGTTAAAAAATTGTGAAATAGATCCCTGTACGCTATACGCTACTTCCCAGCTAGCAAAAATTGTGCGGGCCGGAAGCGGCCCGATTAAGGCTAAAACACTCAGCCGATCCTCGGCATGAATCTAGGTCTGATTGCTCTGCGAGCACTCGGTTTTAACGCGGTCCGATTAAGGCTTAAACACTCGGCCGAGCGCTCGGTTTTAATGCGGCCCGATTGCGGAACCCCGAGTGAGAGGACGTAATGCTCCCCTCCAATCCCGTTCCTTGTTTGGGCTTATTTAAACTATTGATTTTTCATTCATGTCAGGTTAATACTAAAACAGCTGAGCAGCCGCGTTAGTTATGCAAGATAAACTTAAATAAAACAGCAGAAGGAAGACAAGTTTCATGTTTAATGCATTTTTTTATTGGACCACACTTCTCTCCCCTCTGATGAATGAAGGACACTACTTAAATTAACAAAGTCGGCTCATCACACACACACACGTCTGGTTCGCTATCTTTGTGGGGACTCTCCATAGGCATAATGATTTTTATACTGTACAAAATGTATATTCTGTCCCCTTACACTAACCCTACCCCTAAACCAACCCATCACAGGAGACATTCTGCATTTTTACATTTTCAAAAAACATTACTTAGTATGATTTAAAAGCTGTTTTCCTCATGGGGACCGCTGGCTGGTCCCCACAATGTAATATAAACAAGGGCACACACACACATTAATAACAGATATTGAAATATCACAGCATTAATGTAAAATCAAGGAGTTCAAAATACTAATTTCCAATATCAAATTTGTAACTTTAAAACATTTAATCCCACTGCGTTTTTGAGGTCTATGTTGTCTGACTGTTCGCCCTCTGGCTTCGGCCACCATCCCTATCAGAGGCTGCAGCCACCTGGTGATGAGGAGCTCTTTTTCCTTTTCTGTAGAGTCTTTGGTCAGGGCATTACGGCGGACTGCATCTGAGAAAAACACAAGATAGAAGAGGGCAGCATGACCATGTGATGTTACTCTGCAACCACCAAAACTTAATTTGGATGCAAGGCTCTCCTCTACACTTACATTTCTTTTTAATTTAAAAAGTTTAGTCAAACATTTAGGAGCACCTGATGTGACCTGATCTGATCAATGACAAATTAACCTTCCCATTATAAGGTGATTTATATTTGACGGGTTCGTACAGACTCTGTCATTATGAAATTCCAGGACTTTCAAGGACTTAAAGCACTACTTTTTTGGATTTCACGGACTTCAATCAGCACTTATCAAACAATATCTTATTTTTATTTTTTTACTCAAATTACATATATATGGTATCTGATGTTTCACTTCATAGAGATCAATCCATTGACCAGCCCTGTCAGGCATGGGAAATTAGCCTGGCTGCGCCCTCCTACGCACTTCCGCTCAATTTCATTTTCCTTCAGTACTACGTCTGGGACTGCTGTATTCTTAGGTTTCCAGAAATCATTTTTTTTGTAGGACCAATCAGCGAACAGAGGGAGTGGCTGAGAACGATGATGGTTGACAAATGAAACTTTTGAGGAAAAATACAATACGGAGATGTTACATACAGCACAATTTTTAAGAAACAAACATCAAAATTCAAGACCTTTTAAAGTCTTTTTAAGGTATTATTTCCAAATTAATAAATTCAATGCTTTTAAGGCTTTTTAAGGCCCCGCGGGAACCCTGTTAGTTATTTAAGGAATATAGCATGAGTGAGAGTGGGGACTGACTTTTAGGAATGATCTGATTAATGTATAAATTAACTCACCAGATTTTTCCTCTCCTCTGGATTCTTTAATGTCTCCTCCATGGGCGTAGGTTTGGTCTCAGCTTTGGTGGGGACATCCCATCCCCCCCCCCATCTCATCTCATCTCATCTCATTATATTGTATCCTGACCCCCGATACACCATCCTGTATACTGTCAATAAAGAGCTAGTATAACTGTATAATCTCAAAAATGCACTCTCAAAAAATAAAAACCTGAGACTGTAATGCTGAACAACCAAACATTTTATTTAACATAAATTATTATGTATCTTCTATTCTATATCAAATTCTATTGATATATTCTATCCTTTAAAAAAAAACAAGTTTAACCCTCCTACCAGATATTGTTATTTGGATATTATCAAACAAATAATGATTCATTATTTGAATAACCAACAGTGTTTACTTTTGCCTTTTTAACATTGCCAACATGTTTTTCCAGACATGTGTCTAGCAAGTAGGCTACACTCACAAATACATTACATAAACAGAATGTAGAAACGAAAAATGTCTGAGATGATCCATTGTTTATGACTGCAAGATTCTAAGTTAAGGTAGGCTAATTAACATTCAGTGACTTGCTAACGTCTATCATGATAGCGCGACTTCTATGAGTCCGTGCTGCACACCCCTAATTAATGCTCCTAACCTTGAAAGATTGCAGAAGCTAGGTTTAACTGTAACAATATCCTGGGTAACCAGGATCACCAGTTAAAACTATTTTCCACAGTAGAATCTGCATTTGAAAGCCTGGCCAGTCACTACTACTGCTAGTTATTTGTGTGGCTAGTTATTTTTGCCTACTTACACTCTGCTTTATGAAAAAGCTTCGTATGTCCCCTTTCTTCTTCTTGGGTGACATAGCTGATATACAAAGTACAAAAAGGGGCAAAAAACGGAATATTAAAATGTTTTACCCTGGCCTTTGTATATGGCATGCAGAGAGACAGACAGCCCTGGTAACGTAAGCCTGGTTCACACTACATGATTTTAAAACGTCGGGCTGAACTGTGCGGTTCACACTACATGACTTGCTCTCTGTGAAATCAGGAGTGTTCAAGTTGTTGAGCTAGTTCACACCACACGACACAACGTGATTGATCCGCAACAGGAGGTAACGCACTAAACGAGTTGACAACAACTCTGTCACCCAACGATTCTATCTTGTCTACAAACCACGTTTTGTCACGAAAAATCACGCGATAAAACGAACCGGAAATGACGCGAAACAGCACGCGCGCCAATACCCAGCGAAGAAGACGAAGAAGAACACAACACGCGAACATGCCTTGCTCTGATTGGCTGTAGCTCATGACATCACGTGAGCTTGAGTCGCGCGACAGCTCTGGATATCTAGCATGCTAGATATTTTTCTGGGCTCGGCGACGCGTCTGCGAGCGTCTTTGAAGCGTTGTTGGCTCTTTCATACTAACAGTTTGGCGAGCGTTCATCGCCCGCTAATCCCCCGCGATTTGCACGCGATAACACCCTGACCTGTCGGCGAGCTCAACGATTTGCAAATCGGGCTTAAATCGGGCTTAAAATCATGTAGTGTGAACTAGGCTTTACCGTCGGCGTCGTCACGCGCGCACACACACACAAACACGCACACACCACCCGCTCGCTGCCAGTGAGTGCAAGCACAAAAAGTAGTCCCGGCCCGCGCGTGTAGCCTGCCTGTCAGATACCCAGCCGCCCAGCAAACAAGGGACGTCCCCCGGACGTTTCAAACGTCCCCTTAGGTCCGCATTAGGTCCGCTTTGTAACGTCCCCGATCGGACGTTCGGAGGACGTCCGCACTTGGTCCCATTTGTAACGTTCGCTGACGGACATTCCGATGACGTTCGCATTTGGTCCGCTTTGTAACGTTCGCTGAAGGACATTCCGATAACGTTCGCATTTGGTCCATTTTGTAACGTTCGCTGACGGACATTCCGATGACGTTCGCATTTGGTCCATTTTATAACGTTCGCTGACTGACGTTCTGAGGACATTTGTCCGGGCCAGTTTGCGAACGTCCCTATTTCGTCCCTCACCTGGCATTTCCATGACAACACTTGCAAAATCCAGTCGCCCATGCGTTTGCCATCATCAACTGACACTTTGCAACTCAGACAAACGAATAATTAAACTAAAATATAAATGCAAATATTTGCATTAATTGTAAAATTAAGTTCATGCTAAAAATGTTAGTGTTTTAATGTTAAGATAATAACTTTCATGTAAATTATATCACTAATTAAAGATGTAATAAAACCACGAGTCTGTTTTCACCCGTTATAATTTAAACATTAAAAACATGAAAATTGATTCAATTGAATATGAGCTATTTATAAAGGCTATTCCACATGCACGAAGAGGTTGAATCCCAGGAGCTCTAAAAGAATGCATCGACTTCAAATGATGAATGCAGCCAAGGAAAACGTGAAGAATGAAAAATTGCTGGAAAGTGGAAAGTAACACGGTAAGACAAATAAAAGTATCCTTAACATTTACATTTAGTCAAACTGTTGGTCAGGCGAAGGTGACTGGTTTTATTAAAAATAATATATTTTAGGAAAAATATTGTTCTAATTATTGATAGCACATGCAGATCAAATAACACAAAAAAAATTGGAGAAACAAGCAAGTGACGATCAAATCATAGGATCAAATGCAACTAAGCGAGTGACGTCATTCCTTATGTACGCGGTTTGTATCACAGTCTATGGTTTGTATCCATGGCAACGCTCAGCTGCGTAGCGTAGTGACAGTTAACGGTCCTCCTCAGACGCAGCCTTATTGTGTTTTCTCTGTCCGTCGTCTGTCTAAAGGTATTTTTAATTTTTAGGTTATTATAAATTAGTTACCATAACCACTGTCCGTCTTTAAATTATATGAAAATGTTACCTTTTAAAACGTTTGCTGAAGTTGTCCGCAATGTACCGCTGATAACCGTTATGCCTAACACTACGAAGCTAACGTTAAATGTAGCTGAAATGAGACAACGTTATATTCCACTTGGATAAAATCATAACTGAATATGTTTATTTTGTTGTTTTAGGGCCAAAGGGGGAGAATTGCCATCGGATTAATCCCACAGCTGACCGACAAACACACACACACACACAGCTGCCAGCGCATTTGAAGACACATGTGAACTTCGTTTCAGCTGGAAACTTGGCAACTAGACACGCAACACACACACACGCACTTTTTTTGTTTATGAAAATTGTTGTATCGTAGATACCGAGGAAAAACTCAGAGACAACGGTAACTTCAGGATGGTCTCGTTTTATTAGGACTCATCTCTGTAGCTAGCAATACACACACAAGTACCCCCCACTGCGCGTTCTTCTCTGCTTTTAACAGTGCAACAGCCCACAAACACAATGCACCATCGCCCCCTACTGGACAAACCCAATACCACCCTTAACATACAACATTTCCCCTCCACTTAACTCGGAGGCAATCCTTCCCCAAAACACATATTCTAGGACATTTTTACAGTGATATTTTTTTTTTTTTTTTTTTTTTTTACATCACACAATTCATATCATTCATAATTCAATAGGTTCTTCTTGATGAAGAACTATTTCTTATGTCACAAAGTCTTTAAAATATGCTGGTGGTTTCCTCTCTCTTACTGAACGTCGTAGACATCCAGAGGATGCACTCTCAAGGGATGCACTTTGAGTCAATTCAGGCATTCTTTGAGCACTGGGTGAATCTGACAATTGATTTCTTTGACATCCAGATTTCAAACTCTCAGGCTCCCAGTTATCTGAAGATTCAAGTGTTGTTGACGTACTGAGTGATTCAGGCATTTTAACATCAGCATCAATTGACACCACATCAGAATCATAAGGTTCCCCCAAGGCCGCTTGAAAGTCTTTAGTCAGGATCTCTTTTTGTTGTCGCCTGAATAATTGATCCACATGACGTCGCACTATTTGGGCACTTCCTATTGCCACTTTATAGGATACAGGTCCTGTGATTTCCTGAATTACTCCCTGCACCCATTTTGGTCCATACCCAAAGTTCCTAGTGTACACCGCATCTCCTACTTCAAAACAGCGAGATTTTGCATGTTGGTCATGTTGCTCTTTTTGAACTTGTTGTTTCAATTCAATTTTGCTGGTGAAGTCAGGGTGCATTCTGTCTAGGGTGCATCGCAATTTCCTCCCCATCATCATTTCTGCAGGTGACAATCCCGTTGTAGACTGGGGTGTAATACGATAGCTAAACAATGCTCTATGCAACTTGGTCTCCATAGTGTTCCCAGAACTTTTTTTCATAAGGTCCTTAAAAGTGTGGACTGCCCGCTCAGCAAGACCATTAGATGATGGATGATACGGGGCAGAAGTAACATGCGTTATGCCATTTCTAGACATAAATTCTTTGCTCACTTCACTTACAAAACACTGAGCGTTATCCGACACCATCATTTCAGGAATGCCATGGGTACTGAAACTCTTTCTGAGGCACTCAAGAGTATTCGCTGTTGTTGCTGAATTTACGGGATATGCCTCAATCCACTTAGAATGGGCATCAACTAAGATTAAAAACATCTTTCCCAGGAATGGACCAGCATAGTCCATATGAACTCTTCTCCATGGCTGTCGTGGCCACTCCCACGGATGAAGTGGTGCACCCACAGGGGCTTTTCGGTGTTCTTGACACACAGTACAATCTTTTACTCGGGCCTCAATGTCAACATCTAAATTTGGCCACCACAGGTAACTCCTTGCCAGGCCTTTCATCCTTGACATACCTGGGTGAGACTGGTGTAGCTGTTCCAGCAACCCCGAACGTCCTTGCTCTGGAATGATGATGCGGGCTCCCCACAGCACACACCCGTCTTGAACACTGAGCTCTTGTTGTCTCTGTTTATAAGGTGCAAATTCATTTGTATTACTGTGATCAGGCCAACCTTTAAGCACATACTCACGCACTCTAGAGAGGACAGGATCTCGAGTTGTCCAGTGCTTGATTTGCTCTGATGTCGTCAAAGGACTTACAACGCTGTCCAACATCAAAACATAATCCTCCTTCGATTCTTTCTCTGGAATCTCTAGAACAGGAAGACGACTGAGGGCATCTGCATTTCCATTGTCCTTGCCCGCTCTATAAGAAATGACATACTCATATGCCCCCAACATCACTGCCCATCTCATAATTCTTTGAGAGACCATCTGCGGCACAGCTTTCAGTTCATTCAGTAAACTTAATAAAGGTTTATGGTCTGTACAGATCACAAATTTACGGCCATACAGATATTTATGGAATTTCTTTACCCCGAACACTACAGCTAAACCCTCCTTCTCCAGCTGTGAGTAGTTTTTTTCTGCTACTGTAAGTGTTCGTGATACAAACCCAATGGGTCTCTCCGTTCCATCTGCCATACGGTGTGCCAACACGGCTCCCACACCGTACGCTGAGGCATCACAAGAAAGCACTAATTGTTTTTTCTCATCATAGTGGATTAACACACGGTTAGACTGCAGTAACTCTTTGGATTTTTTAAAAACTTCCTCTTCTTCCTCTTTCCAACACCAGGGGACATCCTTCTTTAAAAGCCTGTGCAATGGAGCAAGCAGTGTTGAGAGGTTTGGCAGAAACCTGTTATAGAAATTCAACAGTCCCAAATATGCTTTCAGCTCTGTTACTGACGTCGGTCTTGGTGCATCTTGAACTGCTCGGACTTTTTCAGGAACTGGATGAATACCAGTGGCATCCACTTTGTGTCCCAGGAAAATGACTTCCTTTTCCAAGAATTTACACTTTCCCCTTTTCAACCTCAAACCATACTCCTCCAAACGCTGCAACACTTGATCTAGTGTCCTCAAATGCTCCTGATCATCTCGTCCTGTCAGCAAGATGTCGTCCAGATATACAGTGACCTTTGGAATATCTTTCAGGACCCCTTCCATGGTCCTCTGGAAGATTGCTGGACTGGAACTAACGCCAAAAGGTAATCTGGTGTACGTGAACAATCCTTTGTGGGTATTCACAGTCACATACGGCCTGGACGTCTCATCTAACACAATCTGTTGATATGCATGACTCATATCTAACTTGCTGTACTTTTTACCTCCAGCTAAAACTGCAAACATGTCCTCCATTCGAGGAATAGGATACTGCTCCAGTGATGACTCTCTGTTAATGGTTACTCTGTAGTCTCCACAAAGCCTTACTGACCCATCTGGTTTTAAAACAGGCACAACAGGTGCTGCCCACTCTGAGAATTTCACAGGCTCTATAACATGGTCTTTAATCAGGCGATCAAGTTCGGCTTCAACTTTCTCTCTCATAGCAAAAGGCAGTGACCTTGATTTAAAAAAATGAGGCTTTGCATCCCTTGGTACATGAATCTTAGCAGTGGCTCCTTTTAATGTTCCAAGTTCGTCTTTGAAAACGGTTTCATGTTTCCTTAAGATGTCTTGCAACAACTCTGAGGTATCTGTAATTTTACTCACTCTTTCCCAGCTGAGTTCCAGGTCTATAAGCCATGATCGTCCTAATAAATTAGGCCCAGCTCCTGCCACCACTACTGCTGTGAGTTCTTTGATAAGCCCTTTGTGGTTGACTTTAACCTTGGTGGTACCTAGAACGTGCACTGGCTGTCCTGTGTATGTTTTTAGACTGAGAGAGCTTGTTTTGAGTTCAGCCCAGTTCTTTTTAGCTTCCATTTTTCCATACTCCATCTGTGATAAGACAGTCACACTACATCCAGTGTCAATCTCAAACTTCACAGGGCATTCATTTACAATCAGTGTCTGTGTAATAGGGGGTACATGGGGCTGTGGGGTCTCTAAACTATACATGGTGAACACTTCTTCAGATGGATCTTCCTCCTCTTCTTGAAGATAATTTGCCCTCTTTGATTGATTTCCTCTCCCCCATTTCCAAAATTTCCTGTCTTTATTAACACCAGTTTCTTGTGGTTTCATTCTACATACTCTTTTCACATGTCCAATTTTACCACAATTATAACACTTTTCGTTGGCAAATCTACAGTCTTTTGGTCCATGGTTACTTCCACCACATCGATAGCACATTCCTGTAACACTCGCTCTACTTTTTTCTCCTGTGTCCATTTTGAAAACAGTGGTACCCATTCGATTTCCTGTATCTTTATGCAAATCAGCCATATCCTTATTAGCAGCTTCAATAGCTTGAGCTTTCCTTAGAGCAGTCTCAAACGTCAGTCCATCCTCAGCCAGTAATCTCCGTTGTATGCTGTCATCATTAACACCACACACTAATCTGTCTCTCAGCATAACTGTAAGCGTGTCTCCAAAATTACAATCTTGTGCCAGCTTCCTCAATTCGGCCACATATTCTACTATGCTTTCGTCAAATCGTCTGTTACGTGAATTAAACTTCCACCTTTGAACTATTTCACTAGGCTTCGGATTAAAGTGATTTTTCAGCAAACTCACCAGATCCTCATAACTTTTTGATCCCGGTCTCTCAGGACTCAGTAAATTCCTCATTAGTGTGTACGTCTGAGCTCCCACACAGCTCAACAATATAGCTCGTTTTTTCTCTGGTTCTTCAACATCATTTGCCACGAAAAAATGATTCAATATTTCACAATACTCCTCCCATGATTGTGACTTATTATCAAATGGTGTCACGGATCCCAACATGCCAGCCATAGTTCAATTCAGTTCAGTCAGTACTTCAGGTGATAGCTATCAACTTTCATCAGCTCACCCCGTTGGTGTCCTGCTTTTTTTTATATTCCCTCAGGAAACAGCTGCTCCAAAGTTCTGACTTTCATCCTCGTCGCCATATGTTGTATCGTAGATACCGAGGAAAAACTCAGAGACAACGGTAACTTCAGGATGGTCTCGTTTTATTAGGACTCATCTCTGTAGCTAGCAATACACACACAAGTACCCCCCACTGCGCGTTCTTCTCTGCTTTTAACAGTGCAACAGCCCACAAACACAATGCACCATCGCCCCCTACTGGACAAACCCAATACCACCCTTAACATACAACAAAAATAAAAGTATTTTTGTTTCCTGATATTCCTTGTTGTGTGTTTGTTCCTTGGTTGTTCGATTTTGTGTTATCAGACTAATGCTACACTATAAAAGGGTCTTAAGATGTTAAAAGGACTTCTAGTGAATGTTCCGTAAAGGTCCCCGAAAGTTTTCTAAACGTCCCGCGAAGGTCCCTCGGGACGTCCCGCGAACGTCCCCCACGACGTCCTGCGAACGTTTAAAGAACCCTACACGAAGACGTTCAGGGGACGTTCGCAGTGGACGTTCAGGGGACGTTCTGGGGACGTTTTTTTGTTAGCTGGGAATCAAATTACGGCGTATCTTGTACTGTCGTCGTCCTGGCCGTTGGAATCGATCCAAATAGCAGCGCAAATATCAAAATAGCAGTTCAAAGGAGCTTGCTAAATATTGGTGGGGACAAATTTGTCATCTCAAAATATTGATTGGGACTAGCGTCCCCCCCTAAACCTACGCCCTTGGTCTCCTCCAAACATTGTAGCTCCTCAATAGTTGAAAGTGGGAGCCCAAAATGTGTTGGGTCTGGCGTGAAGTCTGGAACTGCTTGACTGCTGGAGATTTTTTGGAGCTGCACCAGGATGAGCAACTGCTGCTCTGATAGAATCGAGCTGGATGAGGATCTCCTTGGCAATTGCTGTAAGACAAGAAAAAGCAGGCATAGCAGATTAGTAGCAAAACATTATATGTAGATATGTCAGAGTAAACCGAGAAAGATCACTTTGTAGAATTCCTACCTGTAGGCACAGCCTCTCGAGAAGACCTGTTCTGTGTGTCATGTACTTGTGGGGTGTTCTAAAAAAAAAAGAAAAGCCACAAATATGTTACAAGACATGTAAATTTACATTACAGTAAGATATTGGACGTTGTGCATTGGAAGGACTTATTTTAACAGATGTCTGTTTTGTATAGCTAACTCTGTAAAACAGAAAGCAAACTTTTTTATATGTAGGCTATATTTTATTCATTTTTACAGAAGTTGTAACGTTAGCATATTCCTTTTGTAAAGCTACAGAACATGTTTGACTCAATGTTTTGTAAGTTTGAGCCATGTGTTTATTAAGGTCTGAAATAAAACAAGATGAGAACTTAAATATTCCCAGCACTTTCTGTGATGTAGTATCCCAGCCGGCACACGACCGACCTTCAACGTTGAAATATGGTTGAAATAATGTCAGTTGTTGTTTCAACGTTGAAACAACGTTGATATAACGTTTAATTCTAAATGGTTGAAAACCAACCGGTACATGACCAACCTTCAACGTTGAAATATGGTTGAAATAATGTCAGTTGTTGTTTCAACGTTGAAACAACGTTGAAATATTGTTAATGCTAAATGGTTGAAACCGGTTAACAAAAACACTTCTAAATCAACGTTGAAATTTTTACAAGATCTGTACGTTGAAATAACGTAATGTTTTCAACAACATACAACAGAAATATCTGCCTTTTAACGTATCATTATGATAATGAATTAGCATTTAATGATTTTTTTATCATAACAGCTCTTCAGTGTATATGTTAAAATATAATTATTATCATTATCATTATTAACAATAGCCTACTTTCACTTTCAAGAGAGCAGTGCAGCAGAAACATTTTGCTTTATGTGAATTTGTGTGAATTTACAATTTTGTCTGCATGCCTAACATTACTTTATTACATTTGTATTCATACACTGTCATGTCATTTGACCAATTAATTAAATAATAATACAGACTGCAAATAAAACTTAATACACCGCAATGTTAACTCGCGCAAACTATTGTTATTGGATGTTTCGCATTTTTACTTTGAGCATGATTGGTTGATATGTCTGTCTTCCAGGAAACTGTCCAATGAGAATTTGCGTGGCTCTGCGCGCCTATTTTAAGTTTGAAAATACGTCCGTTACTCTCGGTCGGTAAACCCTGTCGGTAAACAGCTGCTGCTTGCGTTGATTACTCGGTCAGACCTGGATTAATTTAAATCTGCCCGTTGAATTCTTACATTTTGAGCGAATTTGAGTTGATATGTCAATGAAGAACAAAAGCTGGAATGTGAACAGAGGAATACTGGTGATATCAGGTAGGAAAACATTTTCAGTCTAACGTTAACGTTTAGGGACACGGGTAACGTTAACTTAATGGTCATAGGCTTACGTTACTGCAACCTCAAATAAGTTTTCTCTGTGTGTGTTTTTGTACTGCTTCACCATTAGCGTAGCGATATTAGCACGTATTTCAATGTAACATTAGTATTACCATCTGACATTGTTGTGTTTTGTTGTTGGTAACGTTATGTATTTAATGTTGTCAGCTAAAGAATGAGTAATGTGATAAAACCGTCATTTATTCGTTAGAAGTATGTTTACATAACCTATTCAAACACTGATAACGATATTGAAAATAATTTTGTTTACATTTTTTTCCTAGATCAAGCATTGGAATAAGATTTTTATCGGGGGAGAACACCCAACAGAAAGACCCATTCACAACTAAAGTAAGTCAATTTTACCCACTGTTCGAAAACCTACACTGGGATTAATATATAGTATTAAGTATGATTTTCATCTTCAAAGTAAGACATTTAAGGTTACAGATAGAAAGGCTGAGTAACTTTTTGTCCTTTTGTCTTTCTTCTGGAGAGGGGGTAAAATCTTAGTCTCGTGAGACCATCCTGATCTCGCGAGCTTTCAAGGTTTCACTCGCAGATCAGTCTGGATACTTTCCGTTAAAGAAAATTTGGGAGCAGTTCACCAAACGAACGTCCAATCAGCGTTGGCTTTGAGGCGGGTTGAGGTGTGACGCAACGAGAAGCGCGTCAGTTCAGTCTAAAGAACATGTCGGCTTCAGCGGATGAAACTAGCATCAGCGTGGCTATCGAGCAAGTTTTATCGGAATTACAGAGTATTTCTTCACTGAAAGAAGAGCAAAACACTGCTCTGGAGGCTTTTCTCAGAGGAAAAGATACGCTCTGTTAGTACGTCATATGCTTCGTTGATCTGATTGGTTGATTTGGCCCGTCTATCACCAACATAGGCCAATCAGCTAACCAGTATTTTCGCCCCTTACCAAAACTACTTCAACGGAAGGTTTCCAGATGGATATGCGGAGCAAATCCATCTGGCGGAGTCAGGTTAGTAAAATCTTTGCGTGGCAGGGGGAGCTGCCACTCGACCAGTCACGGATATGTGCGCCTGCCACTCGACCAGTCACGGATATTTGCGCCTGCCACTCGACCAGTCACGGATATTTGCGCCTGCCACTCGACCAGTCACGGATATTTGCGCCGCCACTCGACCAGTCACGGATATTTGCGCCTGCCACTCGACCAGTCACGGATATTTGCGCCTGCCACTCGACCAGTCACGGATATTTGCGCCTGCCACTCGACCAGTCACGGATATATGCACCTGCCACTGCGTTATATGCGCCGGCCACTCGACCAGTCACGGATATATGCGTCGGCCACTCGAGCTTACACATTATGTAAGGTTTAAAAAAAATGCAGTGCGCGTCTCGTGGCTCTATTAGCATCGCGCCGGCCACTACCAGCCACACGATCTCTCACTATTTACATATATCAGACACTCCTATTGATACACAAAAGCACACATACAGTGCAATACATATCTTATGTACCTATTTCTCATCTTATCTGTTTTTTATTTGCTCTTTTTACCCGTACTATATTGGAGTGCGCGCTCATGCTCTATAGCATCGCGCCGGCCATACCAGCCACACAATCTCTCGCTGTTCCCCCTTTCTGGTAAATGTATCCCTGACTCTGCTTAATTATTTTTATCCCCGATGTACGGTGGCTGAGAGAGCTCAACGCGCTGCAACTGAAGAAAACACATGCAAATAGAAAACAACGCGTGCAAATAGAAAAAAACACATGCAAATAAAATAAAACGCATGCAAATAGAAAAAAACGCGTGCAAATAAAAAAAAAAACACCTGCAAATTAAGAAAACATCTTCATCAATTTCACAACACACGTGTGCTCCAAATACTCACAACACCACCAAATACATAAACGCGCTGCAAATAACACAGAGCACAACGGAAATGTTTCCAGGGGAACCAAATAAGTGACGAACCCGGCTGGGACGTGCTGGCATATCCATATCCATTGATATCCATAAATCTATGCGTGCTGGTGCTTACAGCTTAAAATTATACTTTATTTATTTGTTTATTTATTTATTTATTTGTGCAAAACATACAGAGATTACATTTTTTATGACATACAACTTGTATACAATGTACAAAATGTATTAACAATATGTTCAATGTCATCAGAATACAAATGAGAAAAGAACAATGAGCTGGAAACTAAAATAAATAAATAAAAAAGATAAAGAAGAAAAACATGAAGGAAAGATATTTATCTATAGATCAGATCACTGTACAAATTGTTTCATGTTATTACATTTTCATAAAGAAAAGTTTCCTAAGAAATGTTAGGTAATGTAGGGTCCAAAATTTTTAAGTTGAGACACAGATATATAACGCATATTTTAAAAGCTTTTTTTGTAAAATAAAAATGTATTTGCATCCGTTATGTTAACAGCATCATATTTCTGTCGTAAGACCAGCTGATGGACACCGTGCTGCGTTGTCATGGGAACATCCCACGTTGTCTTTAGTTGCTCCCTTCATCAAGTGCGTTCCACACGGCTGCCTAACAGCACACT